TACCTGGTTGGGGACCGCGAGATGATAGCAACCGATGGTTAGAGACCCTGAATGACATGGCTCATAATCGCTTGCAATGGCGCAGGTGCATCCACTCTCTGTGTTCTCCCAAATTCTAATCTTCTGAATTCTTCATGTCCCTTTTTTCCTCTTTCCAAATTTCTTTCACTGGATTATACTCCTTGAATAACATCTCCAAACCCTAATCTTCCCGATTACTACTTATACTTTTATTACCTCTACCACTACGGGATTTGAATCGACAAGTGCATCTCTGTGCTAATGTGGTGTGGCAACTCGAATTGATGTACGTACGTACGAAGTTCTACGTTGTTACTGACTGACTCCATCGCGACGCCAATATGATGATTAGGAGTATTTGAATTATAGTATGAACCAAGAATCCCAGAAAGAACATAATCGGATCAGGAAGTATTAGATAAGAACAAACGAATGTACTGTACTTAGAATTCGAAATCAAGCATTCAACAGGTAAAAAGGAATCATTAGTTTATCCAAACATCACACTATTTCTCAACCAAAGGACAAATATACTGCTGAGTAGTTCAACGTTTTCGTTTATAAAAATTGACTACGTCATCTATCGGCTTGTCATTCTTACATAGTGCTCTGCATCTAACCTCAGAGTTTCTAATTTGATGGTCCTAATATATGAGCTGTGTTCCTAAGGCATTTGTGATCAAGTGCTAATGACCCAAAATGTTCTTCTTAAAGACTACTTTCCACCATCATAAAGGAAAACGTCGAACTACTGAGCAGTATATTCGTCTTTTGGTTGAGAAACAGTCACGTCAACTACCCCACAACTGACTTAAATTGTCATAACTCAGCCGAGTTCTCTTAATCTGTTTCACACTATATCTTGAAGGCTGGTGGGACTGTAAACACTTTTCTTCATGTTTTCGCCGTATAAACAGAAGTAAATGTCTGATAATCTGATTGAAGCTGTTATTAGACTAAGATCGGTATTTCGTGAAACTAGCTGACTTTTGTCGTACACTCGGAAATTCATCGCTGAAAAAATAGGAATTCTTATTCTTGCATAAATTTAGGAAGTAAGGTCATTTGAACTCGTGCTCGGATATTTTTGTTGTTGCAGTAAGATCTCAGTTGATTTATCGTCTTACTTACCTACGCCCGGCCGCTAAGACATGAGTATTGGTCTATGAAACCAACTATTTCACTACCTGTTCTTATTTTGGGTCTTGACACTTATGAAGAGAGAAATGTATTTAAAACGTACATGCTTCTTGAGAGTTCGAGCGACCGCCTTTTGCTAACGTCATCATTAAACAAAAAATTACACTGATCGTAATGTAGGGTTTCTTTTATCTATACTCCTTATCAATAACAATTCTGTAAATAATATTCTGTTGTTAATTTATCCCGAAACAGCGATCTGTCTTGTGGTTATTTAGATTATCTGACTACCATAACCATTCTAACAGAAAGATCAGTTCTAAGCAAAGGATGATTTGTTATGGAGGTTGTGACCTTATGGTGTCGTGAATTCTGACTGGTCAAGTCACTAGTTTTTTATTCTCTCGCCTACTCAAACCAAATTTTGATAACCTCAAATTTTGGACTAAAAGACATAGTCCTTCTAAACCTTGGTCGAGTTGAGTAGTGTATAAACTTCTTAATACAGGAAAGCTTGTTAGTACAAAACTTCTATTTATTTATCAGCTGTCCAAACGATTAAACAGTACAATATTTGCTTACCTATAACCTGCCTATGGATAATATCGGTTCAAAGCCTGGACGAAAGAGGAAGGCTGGATATGAGGTCAGCAATCTCATCAGGTAGAAAACAACCCTGATCAAAAATTCATTTAAATTCTGCCCTGATAATCAAAGGATCTTCATTTAGAACAACTATTACTCCTCATAGTGAAAGTCGAAATTCTTTGGTAGTCAAAAAGCAATGGAAACGAGAAGAGACAACTTGGCGATTATCAGAATGAACAAAACTCATTCCAATCAGTCTGGACAGAAAATATTAGCTTCTATAGAGGTGCTGTTGTACTTAGGTCATGATGCGGAAGGAAATATCTTGCACACACAAGGAGTTGCGAAATCACTATCCAAAGAAGCATGAAAATCACTTACAGGATGAGAATCTCATGGATCCAGAGTCATCCAAGTACTTTTCAGAACAAAGAAGATTGTAATGAATGCTACCCAGTACTATGCGCCCACCAATGATAGAAGTGGAGACGAGGAACGCCATGTTTGTGAGAGGTTGCAACCAATCATATGAAAAGTGGTTAAGAAAAAACAACTGGAGGAACAGCATTGCAAAGTTTGATAGATATTATCTACAAGTAAGCATCTATGTAGCAGCATTATTGACAGAATTTGTATATGCACTCAATATTCGCGAAAACAGACAATGTTTAAATGTATAGCACATAGGAGTTTCATTTGACCGGAAGACCCACAAAGATTTTGACTTGTTTCCACTATTATATGTAAACATACAACGAATACATCTGAGCCAATTAACGTATAGTTTTTTGGGAAAGACCACAATAGTGTTTACCTAATTATTGACGACCCTTTTCCCAAATAAATTCTGTATTTTAAGTGGCTTGATGGAATTTTGTAGAATAACATTAAACATAAGGAATCATGAACACACTGACAAACCTTATATTTATAAGATTCATAACGATGAGTTGACGACCAGCAAATCACCCTTGGAAGTTCCCTAATGGTACAAGAAATCTATATGATAAATTCTAGCGTTCACACCATAAAATAACAGTAGCAACTTTTCATACCGAAGTAAAAGTGGAATGCAGTAAGTACTTGAACAATGACTGTCCACATATTTGTGAGTAGAACTTTAACAACTTATAAGTGTTAGTTGTTACCAAAAGTATTTGCTACAGTGATGCTTTCCCAACACTCAGAGTCTAAGTGTAAATTGCATGATGATAAGATCTAATCGACAACAACTATTTGAATTAATATAAGGGGTCGTACCGCGAATTTATTCCTGAGCTGTCAGCTAACATAACTTGTATACCGCTACAACTTGAAGCCTACATCTGATAAATGCAAAATTTCGAAGTTTATGAGGTTGCTGAAACCCAATAGTGCGTTGTGGATAGGTCCATATTTCTTCTGAATGGTATTCACCACATGATCCAGTAACCCTCAAGATGCTTGTTGATGAGAAGCATTGTCTTGAATCTCGAAGACAGACGACTTTAGCACAGCAGAAATCTCTTAAAAATAAGTAGTCTGATAATAATAGGCTTAAAGATGCTAAAACATGGTGCGGAATGGGATTTATACAGGAATGACAGAGATAGCTAGGAAAGTTTCTAAAGTAGTACTACAAAAACACAACTAACTCCATTTGTATAATAAAAAACTTCTCTACTTTTAACGCGATATAATTGGGGAATCTTGCTGTCAGTGACTTAACAACCATCTTGAAATTTCATCAAATACGGAAATTACTCCCAACATTTGAGTCAACATAAAGTTGGGCTCACCGAGTATACACTGCTTGTGTTGAACATCGTTTTGACTATACTCTGATTCTCTTTAATTGACCGTGTATCTGGTATAACACGATCCAGTCTGTATGCAGCCTATCGACCGAGTATCTAGTTTGGTGGCAGGATAATTTTAGTTGTCAGGCGCGTTGTAGTATGTCATGCTAAATATAAAGTATTTTTATTCTCCCGTTATATTTGAGAAATTATTACAAACGGAATGAATATAACTGAGTGGGCAATAACTTTGTATTATATTTGACAGATCGTCACCAAAGTCAAAAACATGTCAATATTGCAGAGGAATAATTCAAAATAATAACATTATCTTTGTGAACAGGTTTGTCTGTTTATCGACCATCAGTATCACACGTAAAGCATCCTCACCACCATTTCCACACCAAATATATGCTGCTACGTAGATTAGTAAAAATAGCTATAGTTGTTCACGCTGTACATTTTTGTTTTATTTCACCACATTTAGCTGGATGTTATTAAGTTAATATTTAAAATCACCTTCCAGTTTCTTTGACAGTTTATCTTGATATTAACTTAGACCTTCGGAAACATGTTACTATTGACCAGTGATCCGCAAATTAAGACCCTAGATGCTTAGTAAGCTTTTGGCTTTAGGTTAACTAAATTATTTTGTTTTCTCAATAATTAAGAAAAAATCACAGAATCTACATGCGTATCTCGAAAATATATAGCCATTAATGTTACCAGGGACTACTCGCTGATAAAACAAGTTATGATCTACCTGAACAGTATAACACTAGCAACCGATTACATTCAAATGTTTTGTCGTTATTGGAGTATTACCTATAGGGCCACTTACATAACCAACAGTGAAAAAGGTTTGTTGCTTTAGTGAGATGATAATAACAGAACATCTGATACAATTCTGTCATATGTATATTGTTTAAATGAATGTAGAAAACTTTCTACCTTAGAAAGAGGCTTGATCACAAACCAGGTAAAAATAATTTTCTACAGATTGCCTGTAAAATACGCATAATATTTTTTACCAGTTTCGTTTACAACTTAATCCATAAAGCAGTAGTTCAAAGATAATAAGAAACACTAAATCCGGAGCTCTAGCTATTATAAAGAACCAGATAGATACAGAATTTGTTCAACAAATTATTTACTGGGTTTTTTATCCGATACCAAAAAAGTTCACTACTCTTAAGCATACAGAAAAGTAATGAAGTTAAATCCCCTGAACCAATGTGACAGTCTCAAGAAATAAAATGCCTTAACTAATCGATGTATTTTCATTTTAAAAATTGGACGTAAATAAAATCAGAACGATACGTGTTTTTCTTATCATCATAATAATTGTAGCTTACTTTGTCGAAATATTAGTAATAAATTCTCAAAAACTATCACATAAAAGGGACAATGTTCCAATCACTATAAAATACATCTTTGCACTGTAAATTAAAAGTTAAAACACCGTTTTAAGATTTAGATATCAACTCCAAGTGATTTTAACGCTTGCTTCAAGTATTTCACGGTTGTTTCTCTATCCTGATAATTTGATGCACTCAATGCACATTTGATATCTTTTTCTACATTCAACCAATTTCTTGTTGTAATATTATTATCAGATGCAGATGGATCAGGACTAGGTGGTTGTTTAGGTATGCAAGTGGTGGGGACTTCATGAGGTTGTTGATTTGTTTCATTGTTGCAGAGATTGTTTGTATTTGTTAGTCCAGAAATATCTACACAAGTAAAATTATTTCAAATGAAAACTTAAAATAAATGTTATAAAACTATCTGTCGTACTGCCTAAGTAGAATTTTGTAAAAGGTTAAATTACCACCTAATTTTCCGAATAAAAACAAATACAATTCCATAATTATTTACAATTCTAGCTATACGCCAATATATCCAAACTAACGAGTAGTATGTTTACTTTTAATCCTACCTTTAATCATATCACATTGCACTAAACACTTTCAAAAATGTAAGCATTTATTGTATTAGAAATTGCACTGCTATCCTGAAGGTTAATTACTGATCAATATGTACAAGTTGGAAACACTATTATTATTATTATTATTATTATTATTATTATTATTATTATTATTATTATTTCGTTAACGTTTTCTGAGAACAGGGTAATGTTATCTTCATATCCAAAAGATTATGGTTGACAAGCCCCTTAGAGATTACATCGATCATCACAACTTTCCGACATAAATGCTTCACACATGTAAAAAGTCTATCTAAACCTTAAAACATTTTGTCACTACAACAACAATCTTTAACAATTTTCCTAAATAACCAAACAATAAAAAAATTAATTAAATATTCAGAACTTTCTTCTTGTATGTACCGTTATGAATTCTCTTATTGGCTATATATAAATGTTCAATAATCCCAGTCTAAGAACTTAATCGAATGAAAAGTTAATCAGTTCCAAATGGCTTGCATTACCGTCTTAACAGTACGGCAGACGAATAAGAAATGAACACCCTGATAATAAAAAAAGTGAAGTAAGACAGAGCGGTTATTTCAAGATTGTAGTCTAGACTAGTTTAAATAAGGGTAAACAGCCTTCTAGCAATATTAACATTAAATAAAATCAGTAATTATCTCACTAAGAAATTAGAAAAAGACGATGAAAGTGGATAGGGCATACATTGAGGAAATTATCAAACTGCATCACAAGGCAAGCGCCAACTCGGAATCCTGAAGGGAAACAGAAAAGAGGAAGACAAAGGTACACACTGTGTCGAGAATTGGAAGAAGTAAGAAGGATGAATAGCAAATGGAAAGAATTTCACAGGACAGAGGTGGATGGAGAATGCTGGTGGGCGGCCTATGCTACTCCACGAAAGGTACCAGACGTAAGTAATTGTAAAGACACAAGCAAATTAGAAAGTAATGGTTACAGAAGGCAAACATATCTACATACTAATAAATCACTTTATCCTACATTCGTTATGTATGTAGTATAACCAATACAATCTCACTACTTAAAATTAATACTTGTCACTAGTTGGCCTCGTCACGTGAGGGTAATGTTTTACTCTCTTATAACCTTCTTATGTCCTTTAGGACAAAGCATATTGCAGGAGGTTATACTCCTGTCCCAATACAAAAATATGTCATTAGTGATATGCTTAGCGAAGAAGATATTGAGTTCTTATATTCGAACTAGGTGTAAGTATAGAACAAATCTGAGCCATCAAGTAACATTTAATAGGTGAGAAACGAGAACTAAGATGTTAAGAAAACATTTTACTAAGAAAATATTTACTTAATATATTTAGGGGTTCCGACTTAATAGCAATTCCGTATGCGACACCAACCTTCCAAGATCAGTGAGACAAAAAGCTATTTCCAGAGGAATGTTTTAAAAGTTGAATAGATATAGAGAAAGTATATGAATAGGATAAGTAGAATCATCAGAGTGAATATAGTAATTAACTTTCCATACGTTATCGCACAAATATAAACGTTGAAGTCTTCAAAAATTGATATCCATATTTTACTTAATAAGATAATAATATTATTTACAAAGCAGTGAAACAATTACATACAACCCTATTGTTCGTTAAATATATTGATAACAGCATTATTTAACTTTGCTTAAAGCATAGTCAGTCAGTCAGTAACAACGTAGAACTTCGTACGTACGTAAAGCATAAGTTGATGAATTTTAAAGTCTACATGATCAGTGAAAAAATATTCAAACTAAAATACCATAAATCGAACATGACTGAATCAGTTTAAGTAAACTTGAGGTGTATTTATGTTACACATCAATGTGAATTATAAAGAAAGTATTGTCGAGAGGATTTGTGAAGAAGGGAACTTATCATGAACTGATGTTAGTCCACTAAACCATAACTTTGTGTTGATTGGCAAGTAGCTTCGAGATGAATTCTCAGACGTCGTGATGTGGGACTGCGATCTATGAGGTCAAATGAATTATGAAAAAAACAGTCAGCCAGTCAGTCAGCTACAACGTAGGACCAGGCACATATGTGCATCGGTCCAGGTTGCCATACCGCATCAGCACAACAAGATGGACACCGGATTCATAGCAGTGATTAGGTCAAAGGTGGTAATATATAAGAGAAAGATTGCATATAGAGATATAGTACAAGAAGAAAGAATTGGTTCGTAGAAAGAAAGATATGAAGTGATTTTAATCTCTTAGTTTAAGGGAAGACAGGGAGTGTATACACCGACGCCATCGTAATCGATTCTGAGCCATGTCACCAAGAGTCTCCAACCATTGGTTACGAAAGTCACGCAGACCCCAACCAAGTAGTCTGCATCTACCAACATGGCTCAGACTAGAAGTTAGTGACTTCAAGCACTGATGCCACGTTTTGGTTTGGCCGCCCCTAACTTTCTTTCAGCCATCTCCAATACCGGTTAGCATTGCACGTCGTGGTAATCGGTGTTCAGGCATACGTAACACGTGGCCCAACCATCTCAGTCGATAAAGATTCATAACCTCATCAACTGATTTACCATCATTTCCTAATACCCTGCGTCTAACCCACTATTACTTACCCGGTGATCCCAGCAGACGCCAGCAATATTTCTAAGGCATCTGTGATCAAATACTAGTAGCTTGCGAGTGTCTTCTACTCTTGATGGCCATGTTTCGCTGCCGTAAAGTAAAACAGAACGGACTGCCGCGCAGTATACTCGTCCTTTTATTGATAGACGGATATCTCGCCTCCGCCAAAGGTGACGTAAGTTGGCAAAAGCCAAACGAGCTTTTCGAATCCGTGCTGAGATTTCGTCAGACACCAACCCATTAGGGCTGATCAGACTTCCAAGATAAGTGAAGTTGTCAACGCGTTCGACTACTTCACTCCCTATCCTTAGTTCAGGTGTTAACGCAGACCAGTCCTGAAGCAACAACTTGCATTTAGAGGGAGAGAAGCGCATCCCAAACATTCTGGCATTGTTGCTTAGTGCTACCAGAAGACTCAGCATTCTATCAGCGTCTTCACCAAACAGGACTATGTCATCTGCGTATTCTAAGTCGATAAGTGGACCTCCTGGAAGGAGATCAATACCCGAGAATTCAGTCGATGAGAGTGTTATTTCCATCAATAGGTCTATGATGAAGTTAAACAAAAATGGAGATAGTGGACAGCCTTGACGGACACCACTTGAGGTTGCAAAAGTAGATGACAGTTCGCCATAAGCCCTGACTCGACTAGTAGTGTTCGAGTAAAGAGCCTTCACAAGGTTTATGTACTTCTGAGGTACGCCTTTCAATGACAGACACTGCCACAGAATCTCGCGGTCTACCGAGTCAAATGCTGCTTTTAAGTCAAGAAAGACCACCATCGTCGGACGCCGATAGGTATGCCTGTGTTCTAGAACCTGACGAATGGTGAATATGTGGTCGATGCAGCCACGACCAGGTCTAAAGCCAGCTTGGTTCTCTCGAGTTTGTAGTTCACGAGTCTTAGTTAGGCGTTTGATAATTATCGAGGCCAGTATTTTAGATACTATGTTTGTTAAACTAATCCCTCTGTGGTTGTCACAGGATGATTTTAACCCTTTCTTATATATTAGGACGATAAGTGATTGCGACCAGTCAGATGGGATAAAGTCTAATTCCCAGATCTTAGCTAAAATATTAGTCAACCTAATCGCTAAAATTGGACCACCATCCTTAAAGACCCTGTGGTTTAAATCACTGATAGATGTCACTACTGTTTCCACAGCTAATTGTATAGCTTTCCAAACAACATCTGGGTCAGCCTCGTCTTCAGAACTGCCTAACCGTGACCTCAGTTGTTCCTGGAACCTACTTTTGGTTTTCTCGCTACTCAATTCAGTTCTAATGGGTCTTTTTACTGTGGCTTTTTTGCGCCCAGTGAGGCGCAAGCAGATGCGTGACCGTATTAGGGCGTGATTGGAGTCCAAGCAGGTACTCCAGAATGAGCGACAATCTTGTACCGACCCTCTCCAACGATGACTGATGGCAATATGGTCTATTTGAGTCCATCGTTGGTTTGGTGTAGGGGGTCGCCATGTTAGACGATGTCTCTCCTTATGCTTAAAATTTGTATTTGCTAAAAATAAACGATTGTCTGAGCATAGCTGCAGCAGACGGTCACCATTATCTGTTCGCTGTGTTGGAATACTAAAATATCCACCTAAATGCCTTTCTGTTTGGTTTAAACTGCCTATCCGAGCATTAAAATCACCTGCTACGAGTACTGTGTCTGAGCGTTTAGCTTTCTGAAGAAGTTCGGACAGCTTTCTGTAAAATTCATCTTTCACTTCATCTGAGCTGCAGTCAGTGGGAGCGTAGGCAGAAACGACAAGAAGGCAACGATGTGTGTCCCTATCCTTCCGAGTTCTTACGTAGCCGTTCAGCCGAATAGCACATAGACGACTGTTGACGGGGATCCACTCTAGCAGTGCTTGTTCGGCCCTCATGCTTAGTGCTATGCCTACACCTGCCAGTCCACGAGAACTTTCCATCGGGTCACCAGATACACGAAGGGTGTATCTCGTTGGCTCTCCGTTTTGCCGAGGTGAGGTCAAGTGAATAACCACACTGGAATCCTGTATGCGTGTTTCGGAGACACAGCACACGTCAATGGTAAGAGACTCTAGGGTTTTAGCCAAGGAAGCCTGCTGACCGATTTGACATAAGGTTCGCACGTTGAAGGCTCCAATGTGTTTTGTGTTTTGCGCACAAGAATCGTTGGCTATGGTGACACTTGAGGAGGAAGCCGAAGGAGGAGGTTTAGGGTTGAAAGTCGATGTAGGAGGAATAATAGGAATTGAAGAGGAAGGTTGATTATGAATACAGTGGTCTTGAGTGCTGTTAGAGGTATGAGGGCGGTTATCACTTCCCGGTTGCCAACACCGTGGAAGGGTTGTTCTGGAGGTACCTGTAAAGGAAATTGGATTAAAGGTGGTTTTAGTGACCTGAGAGCGTGACCGCAGTGCCCAAGGGACAACTGCTTGAGGTCGGTCACACAAGACCTTGTTATGGGTAATTTTTGTGTTAGCTCCGTACTTATTGAGACCTTACCGCCGGAGACGGATATCCGTGGGATAAGGCGAGGTGTGCATTTTTAGGGTCGACCTTTTCTAACCCCACCCCTCTTTGTGGGAAGGCAGCATCGCTGTCATGCTGGTTGTCTGAAGGAAACACCTTACTGCTGCCACACCTCTGTACAGTCAGCAGTACGACTTCGCCTTCGGACCTTGGGTTTGTTGCTTTTAGTCTTACCGCTCTTCAACCGACCTGTCTGACATGGTAGGACCTTGAGGAACGGTTGTTCCAGCCAGTATAGCTCGGTTGCTTCATCACGATAGGCAAGCCCGACCACCACGTCAAGGTAGCAACAACGGTCGGGTATGAAAAAACAGACTCCCTGATGACATTAGATGAGGATTGAGCTATTGTACAAATTGATTGAACATGAAAATATAAACCAATGAATTATGGTTCCCCATTTTGCTGTAAAGCCTCATAGTTAAGGGACAGATTCAAAGTAGGATTCCGGTAACATATTGCTGAATAGTTTTAAACCGAAAGAAATCCACTGTTTAGTGCTCCCAGGTTTCGGGAATTTCTCTAAAATACGTCAATTAGTGATGGAAATTACCTTTGAATATTTATGCACGTGCATAATCAAATGGGTATGAATTTTAATACGCAGTTATTTAAATATATGAAACTAGACACACAAACTACTAGTACAAATTATTTATTCTTATGTATACTCAAGAAAGCTAGTGAATGCCATCAGAATGTCACATATAAAAATTGTTCAACAGACAGAGAAAACGAATTCTTTAGTAAAAACCAGTTGGTTTGAGTTAGAAAACTGAAAAGCTGTAATCACAACTAGTACACGTCACATATAATGTTATTGAAATAGGTTAAAGAGTAGCGCTTTTGTATCTGGACCAACTAAAGAGCATGAGTTCCGTTACAAAAATGAAACTACTACGGTTTAGATACAAAAAGTAAATGAGTGTCAAATAAGGTTCCCTTACAAGCAATCAAGAAAATCTACTGATATGCAACAAAGTCCTAAGCAAACAATTCAATTATTATACATACAAAAGAATAACGTACTTGGGGTGTAGGCAGCTTCGGTGTTAGCAATAGGACCACCTACTGGAACTTCGCCAGATTTCAAACATTTGCTGATGTAAACGGCCTTCCATTTGGCATACTTCCTGGTCTTTTCGATCTATCATTAGAAAAAAGTATATCACCGGATGAGTAAATGATAGCTCACATCATCACCTACTTCTCCAACTCCAGAAACAACGTCTAAGAGTGTAGCAGCTGAAAGAAATAATTTTACAGTAGCACTTAAGCCTGTTAAAAGATCATATCATACGTACGGTCCGAAGTCGGAGTTTATATCCCTCTGGTAAGCAGCATCAAACAACTTGAGGGCATACTGTTCAACATAAGGAATCCCAACAGTTTCATTCGCAATTTCTTCACAGTTTGAATTACTCCTCTTTAATTCTTCTAACTTATCCATGAGAGTTGTCAAAAATGCCTTGATAGGGGGTGATTTTTGAATCATACTTAAACCTTTTTGAAATGCATGCAGGAGACCTGAGGAATCATATGTTGAGACTAATTGAAAAACTTACAGTAGTATGTGATAGTGGGGTCTTTCGCCGAGTGATCGGAAGCACATCTTAAGAACACGTTCAGATGGGAGAGTTCTTTCGGTACATTTGAAAAATTCATTATTTACAGCTGGAACTGGTAATGCAAGGGGGGATTGTGACTGTGCAATCGGAAAAAATTAGGGTTTTATATATCAGAGAAATGTTATTTAGACAACACTGGGGATGAAACTAACCCGCATCTATTTCCCAGGTAAAAGTAATGACAGAATAAAGTAATAAGATCTTTAAAAAACCCAGAGATATTATTTCAATACGATATGAAGCGAACTAAGAATTGAAAATAATACTAGTTTTTGATTTTAGAGAACTGAATAACCTAAATGAACACAAAGGGAGAATGAACTCAAGGGTAACATGAAGGCAATTGCCCCCAAATGCCCTGGTATGGCCGAGAGTGGGGTGGGCTCGCCCTCCCTCTCGAAATGCTTTCACACAGTCACGCGTATATAGCCTCTGCCAGGGAAGTCCTACTCACTGCCTTCTCGTGTAGGGGGTGTTGTTTACGAAAATGAGAGGACGGAAAGCGAATGTCCGGCGCTTTAACCGGATTCCAAAGCAATGGTGCACATGGGCTCCAGTATCCTGCGGGAACAAATGGCGTATGAACCAATTGTTGGTCACCGGCTTCCATGGGACTGCATCTCCTGACGATGCTCCAGTGCCTTGTGGATCAGACCTTCAGGTCGAAAGCTCGGGGAGTGGCCCCCTAAGAAAACCACCTGCTTCGGTTTGGGCATCCGTCTACTGCAACTTTGCACAGACCACAACCTGTTTCTGGCTAGCACTAACTTTCGGCACAGTCATCGCCGATGTGCCACCTGGCGTCCTCCCTCTGCATCTCAAGCCTGGACTCAGATTGATCACATCGCGATCAGCTACCGCTGGCGTGGTTGTGTACAAGACTGCCGCTTCTTTTGGAGTACCTATCTGAACTCTGACCATGCTTTGGTCTGCGCCAATCTTACCTTACTTTTCAGTGGCCGACGAAGTGATCGCCACCAACGGATTGATATTAGCAAGCTGGTTGCAACTTCTGTTGCAAGTAAGTATCGAACCGAGCTAGCCTCTAGGCTAGCTACCACTCCACCGAAAAGTATAGATGAGCATTGGTTGCAATTGCATGACGCCATGAAAATGGCGGGTACAGTCAGTTGTGGGTTCGCGAAACGTCCCGCTTGTAAGCACTGGGTTTCTGCAGGTTCCTTACTACTCATTGAAGCCCGTCGGTCTACTTCGGGTGACCGTGAGTTTGACCACAAACGAAGGATGATACGTAAGGAAATTGGGCAAAGCTTGCGTAAGGACCGAGAAACCTGGTGGTCGGAGCGTGCTAATGAGCTGGAAGCAGCAGCTACATATGGTAATTACCGGAAGCTCTTCCAACTCATCCGAGCCACTGGCAGCAAGAAATCTGGTGTGAGCGAAACAATCTACGAGGATGATGGGATGCCAATCACTAACATCCATCGACGTCTTGGACGATGGGCAGAATTTTTCGAAGGGCAGTTCAACTGGCCTGCTGCTCCGGCAACATCGGTCAGACTGTCCTGCCCTCAATGGCCGGTGACGATTGATCCACCAAATGAGGGGGAAGTCCACAAGGAACTCCAACTCGAAGCGTTACAAATCACCTGGCCCAGATGACTTACCTCCGGTTCTTTTTAAAGATGGTGGTGACTTTTTGACTAAGGAATTGACGACGTTGTTTACAAAGGTTTGGGAACTAGAGAGTGTACCAACATCATGGAATGAGTCGGTAGCTATTTCTATCTTTAAAAAGGGTTCACGTCGTTCCTGTAACAACTATCGGGGGATAAGTCTACTTCCGATTGCGTCCAAGCTATTGGCTTCCGTCATACTTCGTAGGTTGTTCAAAACCCGAGAAAGATTGACTCGCGAGGAGCAGGCTGGGTTTCGTTCTGGTCGAGGATGTATTGATCATATCTTCACCCTCCGCCAAATGTTAGAACACCGCCATACTTATCACAGGCCAACAATCGTAGTGTTTCTTGACATCACGGCTGCCTTCGATTCGTTGGACAGAGCTGTTCTCTGGGATTGCCTATTGAAGTAGGGTGTGCCTGAGAAGTTTATTAACATCCTAAAAGCCCTATATAAAAACACCTCAGGCAGAGTGAGGGCATACAACCACCTTTCTCCATTGTTCCATTCGAGCAGTGGGGTTAGGCAGGTTTGCCCAATCTCACCATTCCTCTTCAACTTTGCCATCGATGACATTCTGGAAACAGCTCTGATGGATGTAAGTAATGGTGGTGTGGATCTGTTGCCTGGAGAAAGACTTCTCGACCTTGAGTATGCGGACGATATTGTCTTACTGTGCGATAATGTCAAAGCCATGCAATCCGCACTTAATCAGTTAGCAATCAGTGTCCGTAGGTACGGTATGTGCTTTGCACCTTCGAAGTGCAAAGTACTTTTACAAGACTGGCAGGATTCCAATCCTGTACTCACCCTGGATGGTGAGCAGATAGACGTAGTCGAGAGGTTCGTGTATCTGGGTAGCTGCATAAGTGCTGGTGGGGGTGTGAGTGATGAGATAAATGCACGTATAGTGAAAGCCAGAGCGGCTTATGCCAATCTGGGCTACCTTTGGCGCCTTCGTGATGTTAGTCTGGCTGTAAAAGGTCGCATCTACGCGCGTCGGCGAGAGCAGTTTTGCTCTATGCTTGTGAAACCTGGTCTCTCCGAGTTGAGGACGTTAGACGACTCTCTGTGTTCGATCATCACTGTCTCCGAAGTATTGCTGACATTCAGTGGCAACATCATGTCAGTAATGCAGAGGTTCGGCATCGTGTGTTCGGGCACAGAGATGATAATGCAATTGGTGTCACCATCTTGAAACACCGACTTCAGTGGCGTGGACATGTTCTACGAATGTCGTCTCAGAGAATTCCACGTCGTGCATTATTTGCCGACTCTGGGACTGGTTGGAAGAAGCGGAGAGGTAGTCAGTATATGACATGGAGTCGTGGGATGAAAGAAAGCTGCAAAGGACTGGCTTCTGTTGGTCCTTCACGACTCCCTGGCTGGGGTCCGAGAGATAGTGTGACACAGTGGCTAGAGACGTTATCAGATATAGCTCAGGATAGAAGCCAGTGGCGATCCTGCTGCAACCTTTTACTTTCTTCATAAAAAGTGGTTGTGTTTCCCTTAACTGAAAGATTTCTTCTGATTGTACCTGTCTTTCCCTCCATTTTTACCATTGTTATTATTACACCACCTTACATCAATCTTTTTTCTCTCCTTTCCCTTAAATTCTCATTGTTTTATGTGGCGCATTTTTGTACCAATATTAATGTGTTCAAATAAATAAATAAATGCTATATTGAGTGAAGTGACATTTGGTTTCGTTGGAAAAACTTACGGCAGAATTTGTCGTTATTTATTTTATCACATAAATATTGGTACAAGGGGGCACGAAATATATATGGGCCACACAACTCATTTGATTTGTGTGAGGTCTGGGGTACTGCCCGGGCGTTACAGGGCTACCAAAAAGCACGTAAAATTACTGAAGAATCTTTACTTAAATGTCGTAAGTTGACTCAGATTTTATGATAAGTCATTTGGAATGACCACATTAAGTGGTATAAGTCAAGGGTAGCAACGTTCTGTTACAGATACACTTAGAAAATAATTCGCACGACTTTTTAGAGACTAAACTCTTAAACAAAGCCAGAACAAACATAGATACAGGATAATATGAATTTGTGTCGTGGTTTCTCACCGGATGCTTACGACCCCTTACCTGTAATCTCATCTAGCGATTAAGAACATTTTCTTATTGCGCAAAGGATTCAATACAACTATCACGCAAAGTACTAGGAGATAGGTTATGTACCCAGTAAACACACCTGCAAATAAGCTGGTAGAGTATTAAATAATACTCCAGTGGCAATGCTTTCTGACTTTCCAGCAAAAACAAGATCTAGTATCTGCCTGAATGCAATCCGTATACTGAATGTTTGTGATACTAAATTATAATTCGTGAATCTTATGTTGCATCACCTACGTAAGTGGTGGTACTAGATAAGTCTCCGTGACCACGTGGCATCGTTATACCTTGCAAGGTCTGACCTAAAGCCTAAACTATAAACTCTTGCCCAGCTTCCGAGTATCAATACGAGATGCAACTTCCCATATCAACTTATATATGGACTAAGAACCATAACAATGCGTACAGATGATCGTGATGTCATAGGAAACCCATCCATTTAAAAAAATCACGTTTTCATATCCTTAATGGTGGTAGGGTATGAGAAATGGAGATCTTTAAAAAGGGAAGAAACATCAATGAATGAGTTTCCTATGACAAGCAGACGAAAGTTATTATCCCTTCCTACACAAATACGTGTGACTAATATATCTTATTATGAACCAAAGAAAATCGGCGTGGTGACAAGCAACAAGAATAGATAAACATTTAAAATCTATAAACATCTCTAAACATCACAGATCTTTATGGCAAACACTTCGAGGAAGAAACACACAACGCACCTGACACAGAGGCGCGCTTTTCAATGACCAATATCCCAAACAGATTTGATTAAGCTGATAAGATTTTGGACCAATTCTTGTTGTTCTAGTAAAATTAAAGGTCTTTGATAATGCCTAATGGGCTGTGGCCTGACCATTCGACTGATAGTTTTTTATTTGTTTTCAGTGTTATTTGTTACGAATGCCTGTTATCTTTCGTGGAGCAGCATAGGCCGCCCACCAGCATTCTCCATCCACCTCTGTCCTGGGAAATTCTTTCCATTTGCTATTCATCCTTCTCACGTCTTCCAATTCTCGACACAGTGTGTACCTTTGTCTCCCTCTTTTCTGTTTCCCTTCAGGATTCCGAGTTGGCGCTTGCCGTGTGATGCAGTTTGATAATTTCCTCAATGTATGCCCTATCCACTTTCATCATCTTTGCTGATTCCCTCTTCAGTTGGAAGTTGTTTTGTTGTCTCCCACAGTAGACTGTTGCTGATGGTATGCGGTCAACGGACACTATGTATGTGGTGTAGACGATTGTTTATAAGTACTTATACC